GCTTTTCGTTAAATATGTAATAAATTCGCCATTAAATATCTATTAATGTACAAAATCGAGAATACATCTCGGTGCACACCAAAGCTTTTAATCTTGGAAATAGCGAGAAATAAAATCACGATAACAAAAGATACATAATAAATATAATTTTCTATTAACTCTGAGCTAATCGTAAACGCCGCTAATCGGCACTGATTCATTAAAAATCAATGTTCGTCGAACCGACGAACAAGACGACGCAGGAAGATCCGCGAAGTACGAGAGGATGGCTCGCCGAAGAAAGGTTTCGCTTTTCCAAGGCAACTGAATTACGAGAAAAGCTTTTCGACGTCGTTCTTACGAGAGCGGTCCTTTTAATTAATCTCTGCCCCCTCGAACACGAGTATCACTCAAGAGCTCTAGCGCCACTCAGCATAGACCAACGAGGGTTCCGCGCGCAATCCTCGAGAAAATTACGCGGACCATCCTTTGCGAGGATTGCTCTCATCTGTACGATTTTGTATAGTTTTTCTTCGCTTCCTTCGTTTTACACAAATTCGCAAATAATTATTTAAGAAAAGAATGTATATTGATATAAAAATTTTATAGACACTATAAGTTATATAAAACTCCTCAAAGAAGCATCACCGTTATCGTCGATTAATTTAAATGAATTATTTTAAAGAAAGATCACACGCATACGTGAAAAATACAGGTACATCGAAATTCAGGTAGTTACCTCAATGCATCTTTGCGCTGAGCAGATTTATCTAGAAAAAAAAATAGAACTACAACTTGAAACAGCTTACAAACAGATTACATATATCTCGCGCAGCGTGGCCTTGTCAGAAAAAGCGTAGTTCGCGAATGTTTGCTAACGGAACGATCTCTTATCAGAGTTGAGCTAGGCTGAGATAATGAGGGCGAAGTAATGCGTTCAACGGCGAAATATAACGCTCGGCATAAGCGTCGGTTTCGGTGAGACACATACACACACCTCACACGCAAAACTTATTTCCAAGAAAACAAACGATGCTCTCGCTTGCTTAAAATAAACTTTACTGCAATAATCTTTGGAAAAGATTTATTACACGGCGCATAATGAATCATTTACTTTTTAAATCAATTATTCTTATATTGTTATTGTTAATTTTGAAATATTGCAGATTATTCATATATCTCATTCATCTTACGCAATTTTAATTATGCAAGAACAGTAGATGAAAGAAGCGGAGTATTGTGCGTTTGACATTTCGCCGGCTCAGTATTTTCTGCAAGCCGGCGCCGCTGACATTCGATGCATTTATCTTCGTCACAGCGCCCAAGAAACAATATTTACCGAGTCGCGAGATAAAGAGCCCGCGGTTCGTGCGGCCGACTGCAATAATAAACTATCGCGCCGATGTAACGCTTAAGCGTATCGAGTATTCGACGAAATGATAATATTCGGGTCGTTCAACCGCCTCGCGCACCTCGGAGAGAGAAATTCACGAGGCCGCGGGGAGTCGCGTAAAAATAAACGATATGCGCGCGCTTGGCATGTTTAACGCAACGTTTACGTAAATAAAATTAAAAAAAAAACAACTTATCTGTAATTATCTGGAAAATCAAAACGAATAATAGCCGCGGATTTACGGGCACGAAATTACATTTTGTCCATTTATTAAAGGTCAGCCGGGGGGAGAAAAAAAATAACACGTTGCGAAAAACAAAATGCAGTGCGCCGCGCCGTAAACATCGCTATGTTAGCTGCAAAACTTCGGATACGTGAGACATCGTGTTATTACCTTACGAACGTTGACCGCTTTTGTTGCGCACGGAGATGGATAAAAGCGCGACGAGACGGGAGGTATAAACGAACGCCCGTATTGCGAACGAACAGCCGGAGTCGCGGACCACTCCTAGTTTCAGCGTCTATATAAGCCACGTGTCGAGTTACTGTTACTGCATCGTGGCACGCCACTTTCCCATTTCCACTGCTCCTCCTGTCCGATTTATCGCCAGACACAGCCGCGAGGGTCATTCACACGGGATTCGCAACGCATTCTGTCGCGATTTGCACACGTGGACGCGCCACTCCGCGCTCCATTCCCTAAAAGGGATGCCTCCACGTATTTTCACGAATTTCACTGCCCTCCGTAAACGCATGTATTATTACTGCGAAGTCCGCGACTGAAGCAAAACGACGACAAGAATCACGAAAGGTTTCGTTGAGACAACGACAGGAGCGTCAAGAACATTTGGAAAAGATTCCCCTTTTTTCCCCTCTTTGCTTCAACGGCGTCTTAACGGAGGGGCTTAACGGAGAAATTATCGCCATGACTTCCAATTCACGGTGGCAATCCCCGGGTCTTAAGCGACTCCGTGAAACGTCGCGGCTGCGCGATCGGTATTCAACGCGCAAAAGGCAAACCTTGCATTTTGTAATTCGCATCGCATCGCATCGCGACGCACAACGCAGAAAGGGGTGAGCCACCCTCGGTACGAGAGGGTTACGCGAGCTAGAGAGAGGGAGGGAGAGAGAGAGCGGGACGATTGCCGCGGGGACGCGGTTGCCATGGGAGGACTCGGAGGGTGTTTCAAGAGCTTCCAGCGGTTTACAATGGTGCCCTGGTTCCTTCTCGATCTCTCTCTCTCTCTCTCTCTCTCTCTCTCTCTCTCTCTCTCTCTCGCCCCCTCTGTGCACCCTCCTCTGCCGCTGCACGGCAATATGTGCACACACGCTCGCATACGAGGTGCGTTCTCGCGCGCGCGAGATCGATCTCCCTCGAGTTACCTAACGGCTCTCGTTAGGCCGGCCGGCCGGCGAAGCTGAGAGAACCGGTATTATTGAAAAACTGGAACCAGCAGCGGCAGCCACCGCCGCCGCCGCGCCGGTTCGTCGGTGGAAACACGCTCGAGAACGGTCACGGAGAGCCTTATTGCGCAACACTCGTCGGTAAAAAGAGTGCGACGCAAAAATTATTACGCGCCTTGCATTTGTCCATTTTTCTAATGTCGCGACGTAAAGCGCGCGAGGGAATGTGGCAGCGTGTCAAAAAATTTTCGTTCAAATGGTAATTCAATTGCCTACGATATTTCGATATTATCGACGACAGCGGAGTTAATAAGTATCAAAGCGCAAGCAAAGTTGTTCCTCTAAATTATAACAGCCGCGAACGAGTATTACGAACGCGACAAATAATACCGCGGAGAAAATAATCGCTCTAATTTCTCTCCGACAATAACGGCAATAGCACGTAACGTATAATAATAGTACGGCAAATGTAAACGGCTGGTCATCGAGTTTGTGCCAGGAACGCATCGTAGGCGCTAATTAGCCGCGTCGTTAACTGCTTTAACTGTCAGCCTCGTGCGCGAGCTGGCAGGTTTCCTAATAACGAAACCCGGGCAGTCCTGGGTGACTCTATCGAGGCAAGTCATTTGGGACCCTGCAGAAAGCGCGCGTAGTACCCTAGTTCAGAGGGGAGAGCCGCCGACACTGGCTGCTTTACCAGTTATCCTTTCTTTCTCCGTCCCCGCAAACAAGCGCCGAAATGGCAGGCAATTTGGAGGTCGGGGGCCAGGTCCTAGGTCAAATTTTGTTAGGCATTACGGGAACGGGGGTTGAAACGTGCATCACTTACGGGGAGCTCCTCCTCCCTCAAAGAAGGCTAACTTTCTCTTACATAATAGATCGAAGGTAGACGCGATATTTTATCGACGCGAAATATATTGAAAGCTTATCGTATTAGCATATCGAAATTACACGCTGTAAATTGGAAATGGTTATCTCTTTTACAATCGGTGCAAATTGTATAATTCTCTGTTGAAACTCATTTATATAATTTATTGAACTCATTAAATAATGCACCTTTTATGATGTAAAAGTTTTATCTACATCCGTATTTGTAATATTTCAATTAATAAATTAATGTTGCAACAAATACAGAGATATACAGATACATTTATACTCTACGCATAAAAATTTATATGTTTTCTCAAAGTCCATTCTTTAACTGCAAAATTCACGAGCAAACCATAATAATATGTACATAACGGGTCTTGTTTTTTATAGAAAAAACGATTCGTTCTCTCTGTATCTTATTGCATCTCCACAACTGGCACGGATGTATAAGAAAAGCAGTCAGTCAAGCCAGGTAAGTGCTAAGTAAACTTTAGCGTAAACAGATCGCGTTGATAATCCGGATTACAAGATAATCCGGAACTTGCTGTAGCAACCCCGCGTTAATGATATTCTTTACCTTTTTCCAGATTACCTGTGCTGCCTGTGATACAGGTGGACAAGTCATTAACCAGGGTTGACATTAGCGCAAGAGAACTTTGCACGGCGAGTAGCGGGTCAAGGGAAAAGCGTAAGAGAGTAAAAGTATTCTTTAACGCCGGCGCGAATGAACACACGTACATACGCACGTATACACACGTACGTGGGTCCGTGCGTACGTGCGTGTGCGCGCGCGCAAAGAGACACACGGACACGCTACTCGGACTAGCCCGGGTATTGATTTCCTTGCGTATTTGGGGTAGGACGACAGTGTTACAGGACGGGATGCGAAAGGATTCGCCAGGGGCGTAGCTTATGCCTGATTTATGCGTATGGAAAAGACGGTCTCTGTCTCACTCGGTTGAGATTAATTTAACGGCTTCTTACGACGAGATTAAACCTGATTCGCTAATATTAGTCTTAATTCTTCACCTAGCTATTTTTTTAAACTTTATTAAAAACGTATATACATATTGATAATGCATAATAAAATTGCATGTATAATTAAATATGCTAAATTATTACGCCCATTGTTGCATTATTATAAAATTAGTAATAATTTACTTTTTTCCACTTCGAAGCAATTTAGTAATTCCCACTTTGTCAGAATGTTGCGTGACACGTTTCGAATGTCGTAATCGTCAACAATTCATCACTTCCCGAACGGTCAATCTATTTCGCTTACAAAGCAGCGCGTAGCAATTCAAACGCAAGCGAAATTCGTGACGTGTCAAAAAGTAAGCAATTAATTACTCACCTTAATATGATACGAGTTAAGTTTGGTGCGGGGCAGACTGTTGAAAGCGCTGAAATCCAGACGACGCGAGAAGATACCGTTGGCGCCGCAGCTTTGTCTGCAAGCAGATAAAACAGTTTTAGATATTAAATAAATACGATGATTAAAAACACGCTATCTATATTATCTATATTAAACGCATCCTACGTTTGAGTCTATTTTTTTCAATTGAAATCAATGCCTAGAGAACAACGATCATTGATATTGAACGACATGGGTCGTTACGAGTCGTAAACGAACCCTTTAAAAAAGCCAACGAAAAAGTTCGCGTTCCGGTGAATTTTTCGCGAATTCATAATAACCTCGGACCCTTGGCCTCTCGCTTGACAACTCTCCTTTCAAGGCCGCCAGTCGTACGACCCTCGGTCGTGCGAGCCTCATGCTTCCTTTATGCATGTGCGACGATGAAAGCGAACACGAAATATCTCTAAGCGCATATGTGTGCGCCTCTTTTACCCCAGCCCCAAAATCAATCGTCATAGAAAAAGCCAGAAGTTTCCCAAGCAGGGGGAGCACAATTTACCTTCGGCGAAAACGCGCCATAGATCGATTACGACACGAGATATATAGACTTTGTTAAGCAAAATATTGGTTCATACTGTTCACAGCTCGAAAAAATCTTAAATGTTTTCCTTTGTCTAAGAATAATCGTCGAACAGCTTCCGACGCTGTTCGACGATCATCCTAATACAAAGGAAAACATTTCTGCAATAAATTATGCAAAATCGATAATTTGAAATCTTAATTTAAATTTAATGTATGTACGCAAGATTAATATTTTTCATTTGTGACCTCTCTTAATTTCAAATTGTAATCACAAAAATAATAATGAAACGTTCCGCAACAATGCGGATTTAATTACAGCTAATAGGTCGAGATTAATGCTCGATTACACGGGAAGATCAATCATTTTCTACAACCGTATACTTCTGACACCTACCAGTGAGCGCAACACCGGCTTCTCCGGTTGCGTAACATTCAACATAACACGAATCAATGACGATCTCGGCTCGGCTCGGTTTGTAGAAGAGATTCCGCTACAGGGGCACGGCAAATTAAAACGATAAAATAGAACGACAACAGGCGCCAGCGAGGTGGCCTCTCCAGGATACTCAGCGCGAGCGAGGGAATTACAACGACGACCATAATGGTCGGTCGGATCGAGCTGTGCAACATAGTTGCGTCACCAGGAAGACGAGCAAGCGAGCGAACGCGCGAGCGATAGGCGTCAACATAGTAGCGAATGGTGAAGTGGGGGATCAGCTACGACCTTGGCCTCCACTCTAGCGAGACCGTCCCTCTATCGCCGCCTGTATTGGTTGTTTGGCAATGTCAGTCGAGGGTCACGAAAATATTGCGCACCGTCGAAGGCAGGCGACGACGGTTTTCAGGCGGGGGAGAGGAAACGCGCGCTCATTTGCATTATGCAATGGCGCTATACGACTTGTAAGTCTGTTATCAGAGAACACGTCGCTACTTATCGCGATCGGTTTTAATCGGGCATTTTCCAATGTGGAATCTAGGACAATTTTTCGCAGAGATAGGTTCAGCGGAACGTAAGAAATAATTCCGGGTATTACATTGGGGTTCCACGATTCTGAACGACAATCGTATTATTCTCTGAAGTTCGAGTTCCGTTAACTTGGACTGAAGAACCACTGAAGTTGTGGCCTTGAGCCACATCAACGTGGGTAGAGATTTTGAAACAAAAAAAACTGCGTCTCGCGAAGCTACGTATATATTAAAAACGAATCTATAATTGACTGAATTACAACGGAAGTCGTAAGATAAATTCTTACGCGCGTCAGCAAAGACTGAATAAAGAGTGTGTTATTCCAAAATATGATTACGATCTGGAAAGCATATGCTACGGAAATATTAAGTTCATTCTTCGTCGCTCACGTAACCGTTGGCGCCAGACGTTATAATTCTACCGACCGTCACAACAAAGCAGCAAATAGCGTGTTTCAGCCTGAGTATAGCCTATTTTTACATATCAGGCACGATAAGTGTCCTACATTGTTAGACGCTCGAATATTATTTTCCGGATATCGTTATTTCGGTTTATTTCGTGTTCCGCAATGATCAGCGCCGTTTTTATTTCGACCCCGCCGTCACGGTGTTTGAGCTCCTCGTTAGATCCGATGATAGAATTTACATCGGTTGGTCGCACGATGATGACTAACGTGCCGTTATGTAACGTGTTGTTATGAAAACTTAGTTGCGACAGGCGCGTAGCTTTGCGCGCGGGCGCGCACGGAACGTTTCGCACGAAGTAAATAGCGCTGTTTACACCGCATCACCGAGATTAGTCGACAATGTAGAGGAGAGCCGATAAAACGCGAGGAACGCGCCGCGCTGCGCCGCGCCGCGGCGCCGCTCCTTTTTTGCGCCGCGCCGACCGCGCTTGGCAACTCGCAACACGTTGAAAATACACGTGAGTTGGTCGCGCGAGCGACCGTCCGCGGAAATTATTATCAACGCACACCACGTCAGCGGCGTACCGCATGCCTCTATCTAAAGTCAAGCTGGACGAAAGGAAAAAAAAAAAGTCGTAAAAATTATTGGAGCGTCGAAAGGCCGCATGTATTCGTTCTTTCTTTGTTTCTACATATGCATACACGCATGACACAACGTTTCCCTGCCATATATTAATCGGCGTGCCGTGGATTACACATTCCGCACGTCGAGTCGAGTACTTAATCCTTAAAAAGATACGCGTGTAGGAAGTATTCGCGGACCGGTTAACTTTCGTTTTCGACGAGGCATTCCTCGCATTCAACCGTGGGGGGGGGGGGGCGAGAAGACTGACAAAAAATAAAACAAAAAAGATGAGAGAAAAAGAGAGAGGGGGGGAGGCATGCTGGAGGAACTCCGGAATAAAAATAAGAACACGGTGGTGTAGGTGTACACGTGAAAGCCATTAAGACGGACGTAACGGCGGGGAAAAAATAGTAGCCCGCAGTCCGATTTAGTGCGCACTAACCGGTTTCTCGTAGTTAACATACGCGGCGCGCGCGCCCGCGCACACACATCCGCACAGCCGCTATCCGAGGATGGTGTGCGTCGCTCTGATGCAAGAAAGTTATTATCTAACCTTGGCGCGATGCTGGGCGCGGGGTCCCATGCGGGTCCCCGAATTTCGCGAGCACGCGTCGTCCGTCGCAGATACACCGGAATCTCGTGCGTTATCGTTTCGTCGGCGACGGTGACGCCACACGCGGGCGACGCAAGGTGCCCCGCAGCCGAGAGAATCGGTGAATTATTTTTAGTCACACAGACACACAACCGCGTCGGTGGGGAATATACGTATATATATTTTCAAACGTTATCGACGAAGCGTAACGCGATTAATCGTGCGCTCGCCATTAGCCGAACCGCGAAACGCTGCCGTCCGAATCCCCGCTCGATTAACATGCTTGCGCCTAATGAATCAGTTTTTTGTAACGAGAAACGCTTGGCGAACGCGGGCGTATCGAATGTTATTGCATATAGTATCAGTGTTTTGCGTTCAACGTCACGATAAACCGCGAGATAATTTGCGAGAGACAAAACGTTAAGTAAACACTATTAAATAATAAGTGCGAGACAATACGTGTGGATAACGATACATAATAGACTCTTACGAATCGTGCTTGGAGCACGGTCGCGATAGCAATAATAATAAATTGCTGTACTCCCTCTGTACCCTCTCTTGTTAGATTCATTAATAACAGAACAATATCGAGCACTCTGCGTCTATATTTAAATGCTTCCTGTCGAGAGAATTTAATTTCTAAGCCACAGTTAAAAACATCTGGTCCAACTTGGGCACGTCGCGCGCGATGTACCGTCAGAATTAATTGGCATCATAAAATGCGCGATTTATGCGCTCTGCGGCGTTCACCGACATAGGGACCTGATCTAACATTGTTGCGCAAACAGCAGACGTCAGATACGGCTCCGACGCCGGACGGAGCGGATAAGTTTTCGTAACCGAACACCGACTCGATACACAGTGTATCGAGAGTCCGGTCGGTCGCACAGAGGCGGATTACGTTTCTAGGAAGTGTTCCACACTCGACAACTTCCCTTCCTCCTCCCCCCCCTCCCGCTCCTCCGCATAAGCGCGCGCGCGCGCGCGCGAGTGACGTGCCGTCGAGGCGTAAAGAGAATCCCTGGGGCAGCCGCGTATCACCTCCCGCAACCTGCCTTTTATCCGCCTTTCCGCGCCACGGCGGACGACTCGCCGCGATTTATTACGTCGGCGACCGAGCCGGTTAGTCAGCGTTTCCGCGAAACGCGCCGTCCGTTCGCGGTATAATATCACGTTGCGCCGATCAGAGGCAAGTGTTCCCGCTTTGCTGAAAATAGCAGGGAGCGAGAGCGCGCGCGCGTCTAATCGCCAAACAACCATACATCTCTGAACTCCGTTTCTTTCGCGCAGCGACAGACGCGATAACGATTATTAATTATTAACGAACGGCCGATCGGCCGCGTGCCGTCGGGGATATGAACGGCGGATCCTGTTGCATTGTCGCGCGAGGAGTCTCCGGCAACAACACGTGGCGACGCGTATTTTATTTTTGTTTTGTTTTGCACGCTCGCGAAAATACACGCGCTTCGCGTTCGCGCGCACTGCCGCGATTATGCAAACCCGTCACGTTTATCGCCAACCGCTCGACACGGGGCCTGACCTATCTTAATACATCGACCGCTATCGCTTCCTCCGATTCGTTATCGCGCGACGAAGAAGATTTCGTCCTTCGAATCCAAACGATCCGCGAATTTTCTTTTTTTTTTTTCTTCTCACGTGGAATTGACGCCGCTGCCAGAACACCGATGATATCACCGGGACGATATGGTATATAGCGATAGAGAGAGATGCATCGGGGAAAACCGCGGCAGTTGTAATGGAATATCGTGCAAGATTATTTCAGGCGGCTTACGTCAGCGCACTTTATCGAGTGCCTGACCTAGGTCGTGATACCTACTCTATGAAGGGGAAAATTTTAACTTGGGCACCGCATGGATGGCAACACAGTCTATTTTGGGGAGATTAAAAATAAAGTAAAATTT